TATACTGCTGTCATCTTCACTATCTTTTCGCACTGATTTCTTACTTTTTTTTACACTTTGTTTGCATATTTGTGTGTATATATATACACTGCTCAAAAAAAAATAAAGGGAACACTTAAACAACACAATGTAACTCCAAGTCAATCACATTTCTGTGAAATCAAACTGTCCACTTAGGAAGCAACACTGAGTGACAATCAATTTCACATGCTGTTGTGCAAATGGGACAGACAACAGGTGGAAATTATAGGCAATTAGCAAGACAACCCCAATAAAGGAGTGGTTCTGCAGGTGGTGACCACAGACCACTTCTCAGTTCCTATGCTTTGATGTTTGGGTCACTTTTGAATGCTGGCGGTGCTTTCACTCTAGTGTTCGCATGAGACTGAGTCTACAACCCACACAAGTGGCTCAGATAGTGCAGCTCATCCAGGATGGCACATCAATGCGAGCTGTGGCAAGAAGGTTTGCTGTGTCTGTCAGCGTAGTTGCCAGAGCATGAAGGTGCTACCAGGAGACAGGCCAGTACATCAGGAGACGTGGAGGAGGTCATAGGAGGGCAACAACCCAGCAGCAGGACCGCTACCTCTGCCTTTGTGCAAGGAGGAACAGGAGGAGCACTGCCAGAGTCCTGCAAAATGACCTCCAGCAGGCCACAAATGTGCACGTGTCTGCTCAAATGGTCAGAAACAGACTCCACGAGGGTGGTATGAGGGCCCGAAGTCCACAGGTGGGGATTGTGCTTACAGCCCAACACTTGGATGTTATGTCAGTATCTATATATAATAATGTATAAAAACAATGCTGTATCAACAAATTAATAATTATTTCAAAGCTAGTTCATTATTGGCAATTAAGTATTAGACTCTCTTTCTAATTAATGTAATTAACAAAGTATTGTTGATAAGTAGTATACTACTTCCAGCTGTTAAACTGCTTGCTTAGGATACTGATTCACATGTGTATTTTATAATTGTGATTGTTTAAAGTTTGTTATATATATTGTAAAACTGATGTATGTATCAGCTTGACAAAGACCTTTTGGGGTCGAAACGTTGCTGTTGTGGTTCCTAATAAAGTGCCTGTCTTGAACCAAGGAGTGCCTGGACCTCTATTACCCTGGCTCAGATTTGTGGGAGTGAGTGCAGTTCCACATATACTATTCAATACAAGAAAGACTATGACACAAAGCCAAAGACGGATACTGGAATGCTTGGCTCTATACAAGATCAACAAGACAATAAGAGTTTTCATGAAGAACTCAATAAAAACAATTCTAGATGACAATTCCAGAACAATAACACAAGTGAACATCAAGTGTGGCATATACCAAGATGATGCAAGATCTCCAATGCTGTTCTGCAGAGGCCTCAACACCCTTAGCCATATCATTAAGAAGAGTGGATATGGATACAGGTTCAAGAGTGGAGCTACCATCAACCACCTACTCTACATGGATGACATCAAGCTGTATGCTAAAAATGAGTGGGACATTGACTCACTGATTCACCTAACTAGGATATACAGCAAGGACATCGGAATGTAGTTTGGACTAGAGAAGTGCGAGCGGATAATGGCAAAAAGAGGGAAGATGATCTGGACAGAAGGAGTTCAAGTTCCAAAAGCCAAATAGAAGATGTAGAGAACAGCTACAAGTACCGTGGGGTACCACAAATGCATGGCAACCATGAGGAAGAGGCAAGAAGTATAGCAACATCCAAGTACTTTCAAAGAGTCAGACAGGTCCTGAAGTCCCAACTCAACGGCAAGAACAGGATCCAAGCAATCAACACATACCAGTCATCAGGTACCCAGCTGTAATCATAACCTGGCCTAGAGAAGAACTGGTCACCATGGATGTCAAGACCCGGAAACTACTCACTATGAATGGAGGATTCCATATGAAATCCAGTACCCAGACACTGTACACCAGCCGGAAGGAGCTACACAGTCCTTGATGAAACACACAACATATTCAAGTACATCACAAAGATGGCTCCCAAAGATACACTACTAAGGGAATGTCTGAGACAAAAAACAGATAGAGCAGGTTCCAGCAAGACAAACCTTTCCATATAGTGGATGTGGCTCACATGACAAAATCGTGGTTGGAAACAGCAGGACTGAAAGACAACACTGAGGCACTAATCCTAGCAGCACAGAAACAGGCACTTAGAACCAGATCAATAGAAGCTGGAGTCTACCACACCAGGCAAGACCCAAGGTGCAGACAATGCAAAGAGGCCTCTGAGACAATCCAGTGCATAGTTGTCAGGTGCAAGATGTTGGCAGGAACAGCATACACCAAGAGACACAACCATCTGCTGAGAATATGGGCTTGAACTGTCTAAGTCCAGATGGGGATATTACAAAAGGTAGTTTAGAATTACAGTGCGTAGATCTTGTGGGGCTTTCAGATTCAGACAGAAAAGCAAGTACCTTCCATACCATCAGGAGGTTGGAACATGAGAAGATGGACAAATAGCAAGGACTGAATGAAGAGCTACAAAGGATGTGGAAAGTGAAGGCAGTATTAATTCCAGTTGTGATAGGAGCACTTGGGGCTGTGATTCCCAAGTTGGGGGAGTGGCTTCAACAGATTACTGTTGAGTAGAGTTGAGAGAAGCCGGACTGTAAAGTTCGGGTTCGTAACGAACATTAAGTTTTTTGGACCCCGGACCCATCACTGTATGTTCTGGTTGAAGTTGGGTGGTCGGCGATTTAATGGCGCATTTTGAAAGGCTGCAGGGCAGCCAATCAACAAGCCTTTGACTCGTGTGCCCTTAGAAGCCATCACAGCCATGCCTACTAATGGCATGGCTGCGAATGGCCAGTGCAGCATGTGACCCAGGCTCTATATATAAGCTGGAGTCGCGTAGCGCCACACGCACATGAGTTCTTATTAGTGTAGGGAGAGGATTCTGCCACTTTCATGGACAGATTAGGAAAGAATTCTGCAAACTAGTACATTAGTGTGGTGCACTTCATATCTGAGAGTCAAGTAAAAGCGTCAAATACTGCGGTTACTGCGCAGTTGTAAAAATTCAAATTGTTTTGGTGCTAATCTACTAAATAGTAAATTTGGGGCCTGCACTTCATATTTGAGAATGAAATAGAAGTGTCAAATACTTTGTTTACAGCGCACTTGGAAAAATTCGAATTGTTTTGTGCTAATCTACTAAATAGTACATTTGGGGCGTGCTCTTCATATAAGAGAGTCAAATAGAAGCGTCAAATACTGTGGTTACATCGCAATTGTAAACATTCTTATTTTCTGGGTGCTAATCTGCTAAATAGTAAATTTGGGCCCTGCACTTCATATCTGAGAGTCAAATAGAAGCGTCAAATAGTGTGGTTACAGCACAATTGTAAACATTGTAAAAGAGCTTCCCTCCCACCCGCCCTATTGGTATATTTAGTCACAGCTAGCCGGGGGTATGTCCTTGCCAATTGAGTTTGAGGGGTTAGATTTAAGTATATGGAATGAGATGAACAAGTTTTAAGGTCTCAACCTCCCCTGCTTCAAACGGTTAACATTAGGTTGCCTGAGGTGTCGTGCCCATCGAGCGTCGATAAGGTCGGCTGATGGCGGGCATTGGAAAGATATGATTTTATGACGAGGGGGGAGGTGAGAGAAAGAGGTGAGTGGAAGTGGTGATTAGGAACCACTGTATGTTTATTGGTAAGGATGGTTGGGTCACTGTATAACACTATGTGTGGAGTTATATATGTATATATGTTAATTTATGCTTATTTATGTCTAACGTTTTGGTTAAAGAAAAAGAAGAGATTTAATAAATACATTTATGGATGTGTTATGCAGTAATTTAGTTTGCAATAATAAATGCTGTGGCCTGTTTAATCCATACTAAGTTGTCTGTCGTTATTGGGGGGTTGAATGGGGTTAGTTTTTGTTCTAGGCTGCATCGCGATTCCCCACGTATGTACATACATGTAAAAATTCTAATTCTTTAGGTGCTAAAAAATAAATTTGGGGCGTGCACTTCATATCTGAGAGTCAAATAGAACCTAGAACCGTCAAACACTGTGCTTACAGCGCACTTTGAAAAAATTCAAATTGTTTTGGGTGCTAAATAGTACATTTGCGGCCTGCACTTCATATTTGACTGTCAAATAGAATCGTCAAACACCAATATAACAATATTGTAATTCGGGGGCAAGTCAAACTGAGAGGTCAGTTTATAGGGAAAACTGTTGCCTGGATACAATTCTAAAACAATTCCCATATGTCCTTTGCAGAGTTTACATGCTGGAAAAACACAGGTGCAGACCGGCAAGGAGAGCAGGGTTGAGGAGTGGGTGGAAGATGATGTGGAGGATGATGAGGTCATGCGAGTGACGTGTGCAGTTTGGAGGAAGAGGCGTTGGTCGCACAGAGGCACCAGCACAGCATAAGAGGGAGCAGGGTGCAAAAGCGGAGCGGCTGTCCCCTAGCGCTCATCGGCATGTAGAATTCCCACGGTTATCCAAGTAACAGATGGAGTTATAAATGGAACCATAATAGATTTAATGAGCCATTCGCAGTTTCGCAGTCCGTTGACCATTACCCTGATGCAGCTTCAGTAAAAAGAGTACTGGATACCAGAAGCCATCACCAGACTGATCCACAACTTGGAACAGGGTGTGACATTCACTGTAGCGGCTGTGCACGCTTTCTGAGTTCTCACCCTACTGCTGCTCGCCTGTCTGCGCTGCAGCGTAACTTTGGCCTTCCCACTCACCGTCTCATATGCGAAGTGCCCACAAGGTGGAACTCCACTTTGCACATGCTGAAGAGACTGTGCGAGCAGCAGCAGGCGATAGTGGAGTTTCAGCTGCAGCACGCACGAGTCAGTCGCTCTGCACCAGACTTGCCTTCCAATTGATCATAGTTAAAGGATTTCAAGTGGACTCATTACAATTACAGGGCCTCTAAAAAGTCCTGTATTGTTATTTTTCGTCACTACCTCCCTGCATCAGGAGTGGGTAATTTGCACGCCTGCTGCCTTCCTTGGATGTGGTAGCCGTTTCTCAGGGTGCCTCTCCGGAATCGAACCCTGATTCCCCGTGGTCACCATGGTAGGCGCAGAAAGTGGCATAGAAAGTTGATAGGGCAGACATCTGAATGCAAAGTCGCCGTCACAGGAATGTGCAATTGGCCCGAGGTTCTCTAGAGTCACCAAATTGCCTGCGCAACTATTAGGTCGACAACTACTCTGACAAATGGATCTTCGCAAATAGGTAGTTTAGGGGATTGAGGTGGGCCCTGTGCCGGTCCCTTCTCTTACCTACTCTCTGGCAGACATATAGCAGTACTGCCTCAGATCCTGAGAGATGCCTAGGTGGGTGGGTTCCTGCACAAGCATAGGCCAGGTACACAATTGTCCAGCATCTCCACACTGTCCCATGGAAGCTTTCAGCTGTCCATCTCCCGAAAACTCGGGAGAAAGAGGTAGTACCCCCCTAGCCTCCCGCGATCCCTGGCCCTCAATGCCAGCATTTCAAAATTCGTGGCCTTTGAAATGCTGTCATTCCGTCTGGTGGAGACGGACAGTTTTAAAAACCTGATGGCGTTATTGGAAGGAAGAAATGCACCGCAGGCCGCAAATGTTTCTTTTCTTATATGTCCGATTTTGGGGGCTACCTCAATTAAAAAAACAAAAGACAAATAAAAAACGGTGTTGGCTACCTAATCCTCTTCCACCGCCGCTTCCACCTACACAGCCACAGTGACCGCCTCCTCAACCTATGGGTCACTTAGTATAAACTATGTACACAATAGCAGAGGCTTGTGAAGGCCTATTGATAGCTTGGTGCTACTTCAAAGTGCTGTTTCTAAGTGTGTAGTTGGAGATATTCTGGAGAGTTTTACAGAAGCTTCAACTGTCTAAGAGTTGTGCTAAGAGCTTTCTTTTCTACTGTTACAAGTAGTAGGAATCTGTAGGAAAAGGTTACTGATTGCACAAGGTTTGAATTCCTGTTGGTAATTATAAGGCATTTGATTTGATTAAGCTAGTTACTTGCTGTTGATTGCTGGTTAATTAGCTATTGTTTGCAAATTAGCAGAGGCCTACCCAGGTGTTAAACATTCCTAGTGGGCGGTGATTTTAGGAGTTATATAAGGCCTGGTGTCATTAGCTTGTCTAATATAGCTAGGTGCTACTTCAAAGTGCTGTTTCTAAGTGTGTAGTTGGAGATATTCTGGAGGTAAACTGGAGGTAATCTGAGGTATTCAGGAGGATAAAGAAAAAAGATTTGTTAGATTTAAATTATTCTCATAATTGGAATGGCAGGCTTAGTTCAGTGTAACAATTGCTATGCATTTGTTTCACGTTCCACTTTTTGGAGGTTTGGTTGTTGTCTAATCTGTAGACAGTTCTCTATCTTGCGGCAGGAGATTGTAATTTTGAAGTCTGAGATTTGTAAATTATCTGGTGAAGAAACTCAGACTGGAACTGCTGCAAAGCCACTGCCGCAGAGACATGCTAGGAAAGGCAGATGGATTACTGTAGGATCTGGTAGACTTAGAGTTGTGGATAAAAGGCATTTTGCACAGTCTGTTGCTCTTCATAATTCATTTTCTTCACTTTCAGAGTGTAATGGTGTTGTGGAAAGAGGCACTGAGGTTAGTGGTGTTGTGGAGAGAGGCACTGAGGCTAGTGGTCTTGTGGAGAGAGGCACTGAGACTAGTGGTGTTGTGGAGACTATGGTGAGGCCTAATAGAAAGCAGTTGTTGTTGGGTGATTCCATTATAAGAGGTGTGGAGATGGACAATGGTGGTCTTGTGAGGTGTCTTCCCGGAGCTACTGCTCACAGAGACAGGAGACGTATCTGTAATATTGTTAAGCAAGCAAAGTAGGAAGGGGAATTGGATGTACTTGTCCATCTAGGATTAATGACTTGGCTTGCAATGAGGTTTCAGAGGTTAAGGAAGTTTTTAGTGTTTTTGCCAATGATATACAGCAGGTTGCTTCCACACTGTCATTCTCTGAAGTTCTGCCTGTGCATAACACTCAGAACGACAGGCGGATGCGTATTAGGGACTTTAATTTGTGGCTTGGTGAATGGTGTCGGGAGCAAGGATTTGGCTTTATTTCTCATGGTAGCTCTGTTTGGAATGGAGATAAGCTGTACAAAAAAGATGGTTTGCATCTTTCTCAAAAGGGAACAAATGTTCTCAGTGAGCAGTTCAGAGGTTTTGCTAGGATGTATTTAAACTAGGAGGGGGGGGCAAAAGGGTGATAAAACATCAATCCAATTGTCCCCCAAAACAAGGACAGAAGGTGCCTGTAGCAAGTGTGTTAAAAAATGATAAGCTTAGAGTCATGTCTACAAATGCTCGCAGTTTAGGGAAAAAGATCCATGAACTTGTGGCAATAATGGCAACTGATAGTGTAGATTTAGTCACTGTTACTGAGACATGGTACAATGAGAAAAATGACTGGGACATAGCAATACCAGGGTACTCTTTATATAGGAAAGATAGGGAAGGCAAGAAAGGGGGAGGGGTGGCCTTGTATGTGAAGGATAGCATAAAATCTAGCCTAATAAAAGTTAGTGAGGCAAACATAGAGTCCGTTTGGGCTACGTTAGAATTTGGTAATCACACAGTAACTCGTGTAGGTGTGATTTATAGGCCCCCAGGACAAATTGAAGAGTTAGATAATCTACTAGTTGAGGAAATAGCTAAAATGACAATGAAGGGGGAAGTTATCATCATGGGTGACTTTAATCTTCCTGATGTAAATTGGAAAACAAAATTAGCTAATTGTGCCAGGAGCACACATATTCTAAACTCCCTACTGGGATTGTCTCTAAAACAAGTTGTTGAGGAGCCAACTCGTAAAGAGGCCATACTAGATTTAGTGTTAACAAATGGAGATTTGGTATCAGATGTTACTGTAGGTGAAAGTTTAGGATCCAGTGATCATCAGTCAGTGTGGTTTAATATAAGAACAGTGACTGAGTCACACCACACAAAAACAAAAGTTTTAGACTTTAGAAAAACAGACTTTTCTAAAATTAGAATATGGGTAGAGGAGTCATTATCAGACTGGAGCAATTTAAATGGAGTCCAAGAAAATGGGATTATTTAAAAGTTGCACTATTGAAGGCAACAGAAAATTGCATTAGGCTTGTCAGTAAAAGCAAAAAATTCAAGAAACCACTGTGGTACTCCGCAGATGTGGCCAAAATAGTTAAAAACAAAAAGTTAGCATTTAGGAATTATAAAAAAAAACAGAGTGAGGAAGACAAAATGATCTATAAGATTAGGCAGAAAGAGGCTAAGCAAGTTATAAGAGCTTCCAAATCACACACAGAAGAGAAAATAGCACAGTCAGTAAAAAAAGGGGATAAAACATTTTTTAGATACATAAATGAGAAAAGAAAAGTAAAACAAGAATTAGTTAGATTAAAAACAAAAGAAGGAAGGTATGTAGAAGAGGATAAAGGTCAGGCTGACTGCCTCAATGAATATTTTTGTTCTTTATTTACAGAAGAAAATGAAGGAAAGGAAACGTGAGTTTACAGAGGAAGAGGTTCTATTTCAACTGTCAAAAGTAAAGACAAATAAGTCAATGGGACCTGATGGAATACACCCAAAGCTATTAAAAGAGCTTAGTGTTAGCAAAACCATTAACAGATTAATTTAACCAATCATTGTTAACAGGAGTAGTCCCAGAAGATTGGAAGTTAGCAAATGTTGTGCCCATTTACAAGAAAGGTAATAGGGAGGAGTCGGGCAACTATAGGCCAGTAAGCCTTACTTCAGTAGTGGGGAAAGTGATGGAAACCATGTTAAAGGATAGGATTGTTGAACATCTAAAAACACATGGATTTCAAGATCAGAGACAACATGGGTTTACTTCAGGGAGATCATGCCAAACTAATCTTATTGATTTTTGATTGGGTAACTAAAATTATAGATCAGGGTGGTGCAGTAGACATTGCTTACCTAGATTTCAGTAAGGCTTTTGACACTGTTGCACATATAAGGCTTATCAATAAACTGCAATCTTTAAGTTTGGATTCAAATACTGTTGAATGGGTAAGGCAGTGGCTGAGTGACAGGCAACAGAGGGTTGTAGTTAATGGAATATATTCGAAGCTTGGACTTGTCACCAGTGGGGTACCTCAGGGATCTGTACTTGGACCCATTCTCTTTAATATTTGTATTAGTGATATTGCAGAAGGTCTTGATGGTAAGGTATGTCTTTTGCTGATGATACTAAGATATGTAACAGGGTTGATGTTCCAGGAGGGATAAGCCAAATGACAAATGATTTAGGTAAACTAGAAAAATGGTCAGAATTGTGGCAACTGACATTTAATGTGGATAAGTGCAAGATAATGCATCTTGGACGTAAAAACCCAAGGGCAGAGTACAGAATATTTGATAGAGTTCTAACCTCAACATATGAGGAAAGGGATTAAGGGGTGATTATTTCTGATGACTTAAAGATAGGCAGACAATGTAATAGAGCAGAAGGAAATGCTAGCAGAATGCTTGGTTGTATAGGGAGAGGTATTAGCAGCAGAAAGAGGGAAGTGCTCATGCCATTGTACAGAACACTGGTGAGACCTCACTTGGAGTATTGTACACAGTACTGGAGACCGTATCTTCAGAAGGATATTGATACCTTAGAGAGGGTTCAGAGAAGGGCTACTAAACTGGTTCATGGATTGCGGGATAAAACTTACCAGGAATGGTTAAAGGATCTTAACATGTATAGCTTGGAGGAAAGACGAGACAGGGGGGATATGATAGAAACATTTAAATATATAAAGGGAATCAACACAGTAAAGGAGGAGACTATATTTAAAAGAAGAAAAACTACCACAACAAGAGGACATAGTCTTAAATTAGAGGGACAAAGGTTTAAAAATAATATCAGGAAGTATTACTTTACTGAGAGGGTAGTGGATGCATGGAATAGCCTTCCAGCTGAAGTGGTAGAGGCATAGGCGTGCGCAGCCTATTGCATTAGGGTGTGCACCCTAAAGCACAAACACACGCTGCGCGATGTGTGTGTGAGGGTGCTGTTAGTGTGATGTGAGGGTGTTTGTGTGTGTGTTTGTGACTGTGCTGTTTGTGTGTGTATGTTTGTCCTGTGAGGGTGCTGTTTGTGTGAATGTCGTGTATTTGTGAGGCTGCTGTTTGTGTATGTGTGTGTTTGTGAGGGTGCTGTTAGTGTGCTGTGTGTGAGGGTGTTGTGTTTTTTTTAAAGGTGCTGTGTGTGTTTGTGAGGGTGCGGTTAGTGTACTGTGTGTGTGAGCTGTATGTGTGTAGGTGCTGTATGTGTGTGTGCTGTATGTTTGGAGGGATTTGGCAGATTAGTAAATCCTTGCTGCCATGTGCCATCCCTGGTGGTCCAGTGGAGAGTGAACTCTAGCCTGCGGGGCTAGAGTTAACTCTCATGAGATCTGAGCGTTGCCGCAGCAAAGCTCAGATATCGCGAGAGGAACCTGGCGGAGCGTCTGTCTAGAGCTCCCCGGGTCCTCTCCTGCCTCCCTCCATGCTGCTATGGGCCGGTGAGGTAGATCTTTGGTCTCCCCGCCGGCCCATGGAGGCTTAGAGCAGAGCCGGCACTCAGATAGCGCCGGCTCTGCGTGTGTGTGTGTGTGTGTGTGTGTATGTATATATGTGTATATATATATATATATATATATATATGCGTACACATACTCACAGACACATTCAGACACACACACACATACACTCACAGACACACACACACATACACATTCACACACACACACACACACTCACACACACACACACACACACTCACACACACACACATACAAATTATTATATTTGAATTAAAAACAAATGTCCACCCAGCCTCCTACCTGGAGTGCTGGCGTGGACTTTTCCCTTGGGTCCAGTGGGGCGGGCGCCTCTCTGCAGCTCAGCCGCGGCGAGGGAGCTGTCTGCTCTCTGCTCTCTGCTCCCTCGGAGCAGAGAGCAGAGAGCAGACAGCTCCCTCGCCGCGGCTGAGCTGCAGAGATGGGGGGTTATCCATCACCTCTTGCCCTCCTCATGACAGGGGCAAGAGTTGAGACGGGGGCGCTGAGTGCCTGCAGGAACAGCGTTCCTGCTCAAAAAAAGTGCAGGAACGCTGTTCCTGCAGGACTCACACCATAGGCGTGCTACGGGGATTAGGGTGTGCCCAGGCACACCCGGCACACCCCGTGTGCACGCCTATGGGTAGAGGTTAACACAGTAAAGGAGTTTAAGCATGCATGGGATAGGCATAAGGCTATCCTAACTATAAGATAAGACTAGGGACTAATGAAAGTATTTAGAAAATTGGGCAGACTAGATGGGTCGAATGGTTCTTATCTGCCGTCACATTCTATGTTTCTATGTCTCTATGTTTCTATTCTCCATGCATCAGGAGTTGATCAAGACATGCATCAGGACTGCAAGAAATGCACTGCAGGCCACAAATGTTTCTTTTTTTATATGTCCCAATATTTTGGGGGCTACCCCAATCAAATTTTTATATATATATATATATATATATATATATATATATATCAGTGTTGGCTATCTCCTCCTCCTCCAGCGCTGCTTCCACCTACACCGCCACGGTCACTGCCTCCTCAACCTATGGGTCACTTAGTATAGTATAAACTATGTACACAATAGGAGAGGCTTGTAAAGGCCTTTTCTCCATGCATCAGGGCTGCAAGAAATGCACCGCAGGCCGCAAATGTTTCTTTTTTAGTATGTCCTAATATTTTGGGGGCTACCCCAATTAAAAAACAAAAACAAATTATAAACAGTGTTGGCTACCTCCTCCTCCTCCACCGCCGCTTCCAGATACACTGACACGGTCACCGCCTCCTCAACCCATAGGTCACGTAGTATAAACTATGTACACAATAGCAGAGGCTTGTGAATGCCTTTTCTCCATGAATCAGGAGTTGAGCTCAGTTTGAACACTGAAAGAAAATACCCTGCACTTCAACCCTCTCTCAAATGGATCATTGTGGTGATCCTCCTGACAGCCATTCTTTAGATTTTGATTTATGTTCTTCCAAAGCTAAAATCAAAGATTCCATCTAGTGCTATTTTATGGTTTAGCTGTATTTTTAATTTTTAGGTATTTTCATTTTTATCTTATTTTAAGTGATTTCCTTATCCACATTTGTTTGCAGGGCACTTGTCCTACTCTTACACCCATTTTACTTCCTTTTGCAGCCCTCTAGCCCTTTCCAGGACTTTTTTAGAGGCATTTTTGTGCCCAAAAATTTGGGTCCCCATTGACTTCAATCGGGTTCGGGTTCGGGGTCAAGTTACTTTTTTTCAAAGTTCGGCCAAACCTGCCGGACCTGAACACCCAGGTGTCCGCTCAACTCTAGTGACAAGTAAAGGCACAATATACACCATATAAGATACCCTCTCAGACACAGCGAAACTAAAGAAAAAAGACCGCCGCAAAGACTCCCAAGATGGCGATGACCCAGTGACTATGTCAGATGGCCATTCCGACCACGAGTCAATCTCCTCCAGATACTCGGACTCTACAGTCACGGAGCGTAGCCTTCATAAAATGCTACAAGAACTCCGAGTCACGATCAAGGGAGATTTCCATCGCATAGATGGAGACTTAAGGAGAGAGATCTCTAATTTGGGGGACAGAACCAGCCACATGGGCGTCTGCCGGGGCAAGGAGGGGCACTTGCCACCCTGGATTTCTCAGCTTGTTCTGCTATTTTTAGTTTGTGTGAGAATACAGTGCAATACCAGCGCCGGCCAGTAGGTGTGTATGGAGAAAGGCAGGAAGCTACAGCTTATCCCTGCTTCTCTCTCATGATTGAAACCACAGGGGAGTGGCACAGAGTGTAGCCAGCAACCCCTAGCCTGAAGGGGCAGCCTACAGATCAGGTAAGTGAGGCATGAGGAGAGGGCAGTCTACAGATCAGGTAAGTAAGGGATGGGGGGCATTCTACATATCAGGTAAGTGAGGGATGGGGGCAGACTACATATCAGGTAAGTGAGGAATGGGGGTAAGTCTACAGATCAGGTAATTGAGGGATGGGGGAAACAGTATAGAGGAAGGTAAAGTAGAAGGAGCATAAATGAGCAGAAAGGTTCTGCAAGGGTCAGGAGGTGTCAGCAAGGAATAGAAAGGGGCGGCAAGAAGCAGGAAGAGGCAGAAAAGGTTTGCAAGGAGCAGGAGGGTAAATTAGAAGGAGCAGAAATGAGCAGAAAGGTTCTGCAAGGGTCAGGAGGTGTCAGCAAGGAATAGAAAGGGGCGGCAAGAAGCAGGAAGAGGCAGAAAAGGTTTGCAAGGAGCAGGAGGGTAAATTAGAAGGAGCAGAAATGAGCAGGAAGGGGCAGCAAGAAGCAGGAGGGGTCAGCAAGGAGTAGGAAGCGGCCGCAGGAAGGATTAGGGATGGTCTGCAAGGAATAGGAAGGGTCTGCAAGGAGTACGAGGGGTCAGCAAGGAGTAGGAAGAGGCAGCAAGGAGCAAGAAGGGTCTGCAAGGAGCAGGAGAGGTCAGTAAGGAGTAGGAAGAGGCAGCAAGAAGCAGGAAGGGACTGCAGGGAGCAGGAAGGAGCAGCAAGGAGAAAGAAGGGGCAGAAAGAATCAGAAGGAGCACAAAGGTAAAGTAGGAGAAGGAACAGAAAGGGTCTGCAAGAAGCTGGAAGAGGCAGCAAGAAACAGGAAGGGTCTGTAAGGAGCAGAAAGGGGCAGCAAGGAGCAGAAAGGGGCAGCAAGGAGCAGGAAGTGCCTGCAAGGAGAAGGAAGGGTCTGCAAGGAGCAGAAGGGCGCAAAATAAGCAGAAAGTAGCAGAAAGGTAAAGGAGCAGAAGTAGCCTCAGAAGAAAAAGAAGACTGTGTCAAATGAAGGAGAAGAAAATGAGATTGGAGCACTTCATTCTGGACACCACAGCATAAGGTGTTGGTACCTGGGCCTGGCAGGGAAACTTTGGACCTTCTCATCTCCCCAGGTAAAAAAAATATCAGTGTACATTTGTAAACTTTTATTTACTGAGTGTCAGGAAACACAGAGGGCCACTGGGTAGGGTTGCTGCTGATTGGCTCGAGGGTCAGCTGGCACTCTAATCCAATCAGTAGCTCTCCATTCATAAAAACGTAAAACATTTTTATGAATTGGGAACTAGCGATTGGCTTAGAGCATCAGCTGACCACTCTAGCCAATCAGCGGCACCAATGCCTGACATCAATCTGCACTTCCTGACACTCCGTTTCAGAAGCCGAATACCACCTTGGAGATCTGGAGCTGGAGGAAGCCTTTGGGGTTAAACCATTTGAGAGCGGTTTCACCCCTTACAGGAAAGAGTGCACCCAGGGGCCTCCTTGCATCTTAGCATTTTCATTTAGATTAAGTTGTTATGGTGACCAGAATGATCCTTTAATTACATTAAAGGAACACTATAGTGTCAGGAAAATAAACATGTATTCCTGACACCATAGTTGTGAAAACGCTATTCACCCTGGCTTTATGTGATAATGACTGTGACGGTACCAACTCCACCACTGGGCATTGGAGGAGCCTGGTTGCTCGCCTGCTCCCTCTGGACTATGGCCCCATGTTGAAACGCTTGATTTTCCCATGCAAAGACATGAAAGCCAGGTCATTCGGTACTTTCCCTATTTGAACAGTGATACCCCAGATAGCTATGCCATGGAGCCCATTAGTATAACGAAAGACTATGTGAAAGACTTTGGCTCCATGGCAATTGAACTGTATGTATGTGATCTGAGCGCCATTTAGTAATAATGTGCGCTCAGAGCTAAGCTATCTGGGGATAGGTTGAATGTACCCGTTTTATGCAATAGCTGCACAGTTATGAATATTTATGTAATTTTATTTCTTTTGCTACCATGTGGCTAATGGAGTTTTGCCTCTGTCCTTGGAGATAATTGGATTACTTCCCAATTATCTCCAGGATAGAAGACTCTGCAGAACCAGTTTTGGGCAGAAAAGAACTTTGATCTAACGTTTGACCCACTGGACCAATTTGTATGATTTTGACGTATGTTTGTATTTGGAGTATGCTGATTCTGAAAATGTAAGTTATGTGAATGTGATGCATTCTTTTAAAGTTATGAATATTGTGTAAAATTGTGCCTGTGATAATTACATTAACCCATTGTGTAAGGTAATTGTATCACAGGCAGAGGGGAGGATTTTGTGTGGGAGTGTCTGAGTGTATTGTACGTGTTTATTGGTTGTTTTACAAAACCCTGTGGGTGGTACTAATGTGTAAGAATGTGTATATAAGAACAATATACCCACAGCTCTGTCTAGTTCTACTTCACCCTCAATCTAAGTCCTGTCTCTTATTCGGGGAATCTGCTACAAGGGATTGCTATGCTTGTCATACTCCCTTGCTAAATCACTACTAAGCTTTTGTAAGAGCTTGCTCTCTGAAGGAGTCTACGGTGGTTATGGAGTGCTTGGAGCCCTCAGAAAGCCAGTCGGGGTGCCCGTCGATCCATTACAATGACTATGCTCCTCCCCTTCATGACACTGTCAAAAAGGGGCCAAGCATGGATGTCATTACAATTATGCCCCCCCTGAAACTGAGTGCTGCTCACAACGAAGTTGTGGACAAGGTACAAAAGCTATCTGAGGAAATCAAATCCTTGAAACTCAAATTAGCAGACATGGAAGACAGGTCGAGGAGACAAAATGTCCACTTTCGAGGCATACCTGATTATGTCTCCCACAATGCACTTCCAGCTTACATTCTCTCAATATGCAAGGCCCTGGTCCCTGGCCTACTCCGTGTGAGCATTTGACCGCATGCATAGACTCCCGCGCCCAGCCCACTTCACAGGCAAGGTCCCCAAGGATGTCATTGTCAAATTCCACTACTTTGCACATAAGGAGCAGCAAGAAAATCTCCCACGCTCCCTGACCCTCACCAACACCGTATTTGCGGACTTACCAGCAGCCACAATGGCAAGACGCAAAACATTCATCACTATTACAAAGACACTAGGCAACAACAACGTGTCCTTCAAATGGGGCTACCCAACCAAACTGCTAATCTGGAGGCAGGGGAAAACCCACATGGTAAATGATCCGGCTGAGGGTATGAAATCACTTATTGAATGGGGTATGTGGAACAACACCAATACTCACCAAGAGGGTTCAGCCGGGGCCTCCCCGAGAAGAGTCCAGGCAGCATGGCGGATAGTGTGAACCCCTGCCAAGATGACATGAACTCTGATGCTATGAAATCCTCAGCTCAGCCGTGATGGTCGCTTTGGGTATAATCCTTTTGTTAAGTGACATGCCTTATTGTGATGTTTATGCCATTATTCTTTAATTCTAAGATATACATAATTGTTCATACTTCGAATTCTAGTACTATGATGATACACTGTATCAATGATACTACACAAACTGTACATAATTGCAAAATAAGTAAACCCCCAGCAGCATACCAGCAAATCTAAAGGTGTAGCAATACTATTTCACTCAGACTGGGCTTTCACGCCACATAAACAATACACTGATCAGGCAGGTAGGCTGCTAATTCTAGTAGACGAGTCGAATGGGATCCTTGTAACCGTTGCGTCTCTGTACGCACCCAATGAAGCCCAATTTTCCTTCATTAATAAAGCAATTAAAAAATTCTCATCCATAAAACGAGGTCATGTGATAATCTGTGGAGACTATAACTGCACCCTAGACCCATCGCTTGATATACAACGAACGCAGGGAAAACCACCAGCAAATCATCCGTCCACACCAGAAAACTTTTCTCACATCTCATTCATTCACATGACCTTTATGACACACAGAGAAATCTATACACCGCAGCGCAGGATTACACTTATTTCTCACCTGTACACATGACATACACTCGCATAGACCTCTGTATCATAAAAAAACAGCAAACAGGGCAGAGAACATGGTCAGACCATGCCCCTCTAGTGAGCACAATAGCAGTACTATACCCAGCCAAAGGCCGAGGCAAATGGAGACTAAACAAGTCTATTCTTGACTGCCCCAACAATACACAGAAAATAGCATCAGAGACAAATAACTACTTCTCCTGCAATTCAACAAACGACACCACACTAGAAACCCAATGGCTGGCCCATAAATCAGTGATCAGAGGGGAACTCATAAAAATAGGTTCAACCACAAAAAAGACAATTCCACATTAAAAAAACAGCATTACTCCAAACTCTTGCTTCACTTGAACAAACAAATAAGATTTCCCCCTTCCCCCTCCAAAACCACTTTCAAACAATAGCAATTACGCAGGCAGATCTCCAACAACTATATGCACAAGATTACACCAGAAACCTGCAAAAACTCCAACACAAATACTACAGCATGGGCAACAAAGCTGGGAAATTATTAGCCAACAAATTAAAATCCAAATACCTCCAATCAAAAATCCCCTACATTCTATTAATCAAAGGTAGAAATCTACAATCCCAATCAAATAGTTGATGAATTGTCCTTCTATTACGAAGACCACTATAACCTTAATAAAAATAAAGACACACATACCCCCGAAGAGGGAGAGGTGTTGGCGTACCTGGATAGGATAACACTACCTAAAATTACACCACAACAAAACGAACTCCTAGACACTCCTTTCACACTCCTTTCACAGTGTAACAGTCACTCACCAGGGCACTTAGTGTAACAGTGTAATAGTCACTCCAGTTTACCAGGAGTTGAAGCCCAGTTGCAGGAGATAGCACAGGAAGGAGGCAAAATCCAGAAGCGCAGTACAGATTAAGGGGAAATCCAAAGGCAGGGTCAGACGAGAAGCAGAAGTCAGGGCTGGCAGCGGAGTAATGAAGTCAGTAAAGCAGGCAGAGGTCAGAGTCCAGGAAATCAGTCAATAATGTAGCAAAGATCCGGCAGGAAACACCAAACAGGCAAAATGACCAGATCGTAGGTTTCAGGAAAGGACTGGCTTTTACAGCCTGCAAATTAAATGCAGCTGACCCTAATTGGAATAAAAGGGTTGCAGGTGGATCAGTACTGCTCATTTCAGACAAGAGGTCAGGAAGCAGAATAAGGAAGACAGAAAATGAAGCCCCATGATGGACAGCACGGCAGAGAACCCAGCCAGGTCTCTTAAAGGGGCAACCACACCTTGCTGTCTGCTGGGCTAGGTCTGTGCCGTGAAACACAGAGGAGGAAGTTGCGAAGACCATTCAGTCCCTTCCCAAGCACAAGGCTCCGGGCCCAGGCAGGCTCTCGAATTACTACTACATCAAACTGGAAACACCAATAACCCCACACATTACGAAACTATCCAATGCCGTAAAGAAATCTGGCAAATTTCCACCAGAAATGCTGGAAGCGTATTTTATTACACTGCCCAAGCCGAACAAATCACCAACAACCTGCAGCAATTAAGGACCAGTATCACTACTGAATGCAGATGTAAAACTATACGCAAAACTGATTGCATCCAGAATAAAACCCCTTCTGTCTAATCTAATATCAGAAGAACAGGCAGGATTCATCCCTGGTAGACAGGTGGGGGATAACACCAGATATTGTATGGACCTACTAGACTGGGCAAATCGCCATGGGCAGAGCGGGGTACTAATGGCACTAGATGCGGAAAAGGCGTTTGACCGCATAACTGGGCTTACATGGAAGCCACATTAAAAGGCTATGGATTATCACAATCCTTCGTTTCAGGTATATTTGGCATTATACACTTCCCCCTCAGCTAAGGTTTTTAATACTTGATTCACATCCAGAAGCTTGCAAATAACCAATGGTACACGCTAGGGCTGTCCACTATCTCCCCTGATTTTCATCTTATGTCTAGAACAATTGGTAAGGTTGATAAAAAAGACCCTCTACTCCCAGTACTGAAATCCCCTGCAGGAGAAAGAAAAATAGCCCTTTTTGCTGACGATATCATGTTCTTTCTCACTAACCCAGAAGCTTCCATATCCCATCTCCTAAACACACTAGCTTCATATGGTAACATATCATATTACAAAAACAATATTAGCAAACCCAAATTCTTCCCATTGAACTCAACTCACTCTTTAGAACCAACCTGCAGGAACGATACCCATTCGATTGGCGCAAGAAATCAATCTCTTACCTGGGCATCAAACTAACACACTCCAGAACACACACAATTAAAGAAAAACATGAAGTGGTTCTTTCTGTGGTTCAATAACAGATTTATTTAACCAATCATTGTTAACAGGAGTAGTCCCAGAAGATTGGAAGTTAGCGAATGTTGTGCCCATTTACAAGAAAGGTAATAGGGAGGAGTCGGGCAACTATAGGCCAGTAAGCCTTACTTCAGTAGTGGGGAAAGTGATGGAAACCATGTTAAAGGATAGGATTGATGAACATCTAAAAACACATGGATTTCAAGATCAGAGACAACATGGGTTTACTTCAGGGAGATCATGCCAAACTAATCTTATTGATTTTTTTGATTGGGTAACTAAAATTATAGATCAGGGTGGTGCAGTAGACATTGCTTACCTAGATTTCAGTAAGGCTTTTGACACTGTTGCACATAGAAGGCTTATCAATAAACTGCAATCTTTAAGTTTGGATTCAAATATTGTTGAATGGGTAAGGCAGTGGCTGAGTGACAGGCAACAGAGGGTTGTAGTTAATGGAATATATTCGAAGCTTGGACTTGTCACCAGTGGGGTACCTCAGGGATCTGTACTTGGACCCATTCTCTTTAATATTTTTATTAGTGATATTGCAGAAGGTCTTGATGGTAAGGTATGTCTTTTTGCTGATGATACTAAGATATGTAACAGGGTTGATGTTCCAGGAGGGATAAGCCAAATGACAAATGATTTAGGTAAACTAGAAAAATGGTCAGAATTGTGGCAACTCACATTTAATGTGGATAAGTGCAAGATAATGCATCTTGGACGTAAAAACCCAAGGGCAGAGTACAGAATATTTGATAGAGTCCTAACCTCAACATATGAGGAAAGGGATTTAGGGGTGATTATTTCTGATGACTTAAAGGTAGGCAGACAATGTAATAGAGCAGCAGGAAATGCTAGCAGAATGCTTGGTTGTATAGGGAGAGGTATTAGCAGTAGAAAGAGGGAAGTGCTCATGCCATTGTACAGAACACTGGTGAGACCTCACTTGGAGTATTGTACACAGTACTGGAGACCGTATCTTCAGAAGGATATTGATACCTTAGAGAGGGTTCAGAGAAGGGCTACTAAACTGGTTCATGGATTGCGGGATAAAACTTACCAGGAAAGGTTAAAGGATCTTAACATGTATAGCTTGGAGGAAAGACGAGACAGGGGGGATATGATAGAAACATTTAAATATATAAAGGGAATCAACACCATAAAGGAGGAGACTATATTTAAAAGAAGAAAAACTACCACAACAAGAGGACATAGTCTTAAATTAGAGGGACAAAGGTTTAAAAATAATATCAGGAAGTATTACTTTACTGAGAGGGTAGTGGATGCATGGAATAGCCTTCCAGCTGAAGTGGTAGAGGTTAACACAGTAAAGGAGTTTAAGCATGCGTGGTATAGGCATAAGGCTATCCTAACTATAAGGTAAGGCTAGGGACTAATGAAAGTATTTAGAAAATTGGGCAGACTAGATGGGCCGAATGGTTCTTATCTGCCGTCACATTCTATGTTTCTATGTTTCTATGTTTCTACCATATCCAAACAGCTGGACACGTGGGCCAAACTGGACACATCCTGGTTGGGTAGAATCAACTCTCTAAAAATGATGATCTTGCCCAACATATTGTACACATTTAGAACACTGCCTATTGCTCTTCCTAACTCACTCCTCAAATGCTTCCAATCCACTATAAATGCCCACATATGGAAGAAAAAAACCCCAAGAGTGTCCTTCCACCCATTTTGGCTACCCCTCTGGAAAGGTGGACTTAGCGCCCCCAATATAAAAAAATATGATAAGGCAACAACTCTGGCACAGGGATTAGATATATTGACAGGGAGAACTAAGCCAGTATGGTTCCACTTCGAATCTGCATGTTGCTGTATACACTCTCTTCCCAACCTCCTGTGGGCACTGTCCAACCCCACAGACTATATTGTGCTACCTTCTATGAAATTTTTAATAAATTCTTGGAAC